GGGTTTCAAATTGTATAAAATACTGTTGTGCTTGCGTTTTTAGTTAGTATCGAAATTTTTTCGGAAAAATGAAATTTTAGAAACATTAACCACAAATCATTTTTTTTAATTCTCTTAGATTTTTCTACATTTTTCGAAATTCCTCAAAATTCTCTCAGATTTTCACAAGTTATTTCAGATTCTTTTAGATTTCCTTCATATTTTTTTCGAACCAGAGGGTCGCAGATTTTCTCGATTTTCTCACATTTTCCCAGAGTTTTCAGATTCCTTCAAAGTTTTTCCGATTCTCTCAGATTCTCAAGAATTTTTCCCCGTTCAAATCATCGCGGATCCTTCCAGATCCTTTCAAATTTTTCCACATCGCTTCAGAGTCCTGCAAACTCGTTCATATTCTTCCAAATTCCCTCAAATTCCTTTTGAATATAAATCCTCTTTCAGGTCCCTCCAAAATCTTTCAGATTCTTCCAAATTTTTCTAGATTCTTCGAAATTCTCTCAGATTCGTACAAAATCCCTCCAATTCTCTCGGATTCTCTCACATTTCCTTAAACTGTCTCAGATTTTTTCTGATATTCTCAGATTCTTGCAAATTCTTCTAATTTCTTCTAGATTCTTCGAAACAGCCAACGTCCACCTATCAAGATAAGATTAACAATAATTTAAGAAGAACAATTTTTTGAAGTTATTGTAACTATAGTAAATTGTTTATCAAATCTTTTTATTCCCCTCAAAAAATTGATGACGTCATCTCAAAATTTTACCGAATAAATTCTACCTAAATTGTGCAAAATACTTATTATTAGTTTTTACGTGTGATTTATCATTGCATTCATATTTTTTAGATTTGGTTAAACAGGTGGCTCAAAAAAATTTACGAATGAGGCAATTTATTTTATTGATTGATTAAATAAGAAACGACTCATTCCATTTCCCAGTAAATTTTACGAATACAATACTGTTATTTTTAGTATTACACTGCACCAACCCAAGTTGACATACATGTCCCTGTAAAAATGTTGATGACGTCATCACGAAATAGGGTAAAGAAAAAACTCAACTCGAAAATTCAAAAATGCTGGATACGGTTCGTTGTACTTTAGGTGCCAGGGAGGTTCTGTCGAAACAACTTTCGACCAATTTTCTTAAGAATGTGAAACTTTTTCGGGGGTTCCAATCCCAATTGTCCTTTTTAAAAATGTAAAACCTTCTCGGGGTCGCCAACTGGATTTTTTTTATCAATGTGAAACCGTCTCTGGGGTCCCAACTGTTTTTTTTTTTTAATGTAAAATCTTCTCGGGGGCGCGAATTCTCTGTTTTAAAAATGTAAAACCTTCTCGGGGGCGTCAAATGTCATTTTTAAGAATGTGAAACTTTCTCGAGGGTCCAAAGTGTCCTTTTTTAAAGAAGGCGAAACCTTCTCGGGGGCTCCGAGTGTCTTTTTTTTAACGTGAAACCTTCTCGGGGGGGCCAAATGTATTTTTTTATATATATAAAACCTTCTCGGGGGCCCCAAATATACTTTTTTAAGAATGGAAAACCTTCTCAGGCCACCATATGTTTTTTTTTTTTAATGTGAAACCTTCTCGGGGTCCCAACTGTCTCTTTTAAAAATGCAAAACCTTCTCAGGGGCGCTAAATGTTTTTTTTTATTGTGAAACCTTCTCGGGGGTCGCAACTGTTCATTTTTAAAAATGTAAAACCTTCTCTGGGGCCACAAATGTACTTTTTTTAATGTAAAACCTTCTCGGGGGCCCCAAATGTATTTTTTTATGTAAAACCTTCTCGGGGCCCCAAATTTACTTTTTTAAGAATGGAAAACCTTCTCAGGCCACCATATGTTTTTTTTTTAATGTGAAACCTTCTGGGGGTCCCAATTGTCTCTTTTAAAAATGCAAAACTTTCTCAGGAGCGCCAAATGTCTTTTTTTTATTGTGAAACTGTCCTTTTTGGAAGAAGGCGAAATCTTCTCGGGGGTTCCAATTGTATTTTTTTTTAATGCAAAACCTTCTCGAGGGCCCCAAATGTATTTTTTTTTTTTAATGTAAAACCTTCTCGGGAACCCCAAATTATTTTTTTTAATGAAAACCTTCTCGGGGGTCCCGATTGTCTCTTTTAAAAATGTAAAACCTTCTCGGGGGTCCCAACTGTCCATTTTTAAAGAAGGCGAAACATTCTCGGGGGCTCCAAGTGTCTTTTTTTAATGTGAAATCTTCTCGGGGTCCCAACAGTCCTTTTTTAAAAATGTAAAACCTTCTCAGGGGCCCCAAATGAATTTTTTTTTATGTAAAACCTTCTCGGGGGGGTCAAATGTATTTTTTTTTATATATATATAAAACCTTCTCGGGGGCCCCAAATGTACTTTTTTAAGAATGGAAAACTTTCTCAGGCCACCATATGTTTTTTTTTTTAATGTGAAACCTTCTCGGGGTCCCAATTGTCTCTTTTAAAAATGCAAAACCTTCTCAGGGGTGCCAAATGTTTTTTTTTATTGTGAAACCTTCTCGGGGGTCCCAACTGTCCTTTTTAAAGAAGGCGAAACCTTCTCGGGGGCTCCAAGTGTCTTGTTTTTAATGTGAAACCTTCTCGGGGGTCGCAACTGTTCTTTTTTAAAAATGTAAAACCTTCTCGGGGCCCCAAATTTACTTTTTTAAGAATGGAAAACCTTCTCAGGCCACCATATGTTTTTTTTTTAATGTGAAACCTTCTCGGGGTCCCAATTGTCTCTTTTAAAAATGCAAAACTTTCTCAGGAGCGCCAAATGTCTTTTTTTTATTGTGAAACTTTCTCGGGGGTCCCAACTGTCCTTTTTGGAAGAAGGCGAAATCTTCTCGGGGGTTCCAATTGTATTTTTTTTTAATGCAAAATCTTCTCGAGGGCCCCAAATGTATTTTTTTTAAATGTAAAACCTTCTCGGGAACCCCAAATTATTTTTTTTAATGGAAAACCTTCTCGGGGGTCCCAACTGTCCATTTTTAAAGAAGGCGAAACATTCTCGGGGGCTCCAAGTGTCTTTTTTTAATGTGAAATCTTCTCGGGGTCCCAACAGTCCTTTTTTAAAAATGTAAAACCTTCTCAGGGGCCCCAAATGATTTTTTTTTTATGTAAAACCTTCTCGGGGGGGTCAAATGTATTTTTTTTTTATATATATATAAAACCTTCTCGGGGGCCCCAAATGTACTTTTTTAAGAATGGAAAACTTTCTCAGGCCACCATATGTTTTTTTTTTAATGTGAAACCTTCTCGGGGTCCCAATTGTCTCTTTTAAAAATGCAAAACTTTTTCAGAGGTGCCAAATGTTTTTTTTTATTGTAAAACCGTCTCGGTGGTCCCAACTGTCCTTTTTAAAGAAGGCGAAACCTTCTCGGGGGCTCCAAGTGTCTTGTTTTTAATGTGAAACCTTCTCGGGGGTCGCAACTGTTCTTTTTTAAAAATGTAAAACCTTCTCGGGGGCCCCAAATGTCCTTTTTTTATTGTAAAACCTTCTCGGGGAGCCCAAATGTATTTTTTGAAGAATGTGAAACCTTCTTTGGGGTCCCAACTGTTTTTTTTTAATGTAAAATCTTCTCGGGGGCGCGAATTCTCTGTTTTAAAAATGTAAAACCTTCTCGGGGGCCCCAAATGCATTTTTTTTTAATGTAAAACCTTCTGGGGGGGGGGCAAATGATTTTTTTTATATATAAAACCTTCTCGGGGGCCCCAAATGTACTTTTTTAAGAATGGAAAATCTTCTCAGGCCACCATATGTTTTTTTTTTAATGTGAAACCTTCTCGGGGTCCCAATTGTCTCTTTTAAAAATGCGAAACCTTCTCAGGGGCGCCAAATGTTTTTTTTTTATTGTGAAACCTTCTCGGGGGTCCCAACTCTCCTTTTTAAAGAAGGCGAAACCTTCTTGCGGGTCCCAACTCTCCTTTTTAAAGAAGACGAAACCTTCTCGAAGGCTCCAAGTGTCTTGTTTTTAATGTGAAACCTTCTCGGGGGTCGCGACTGTCCTTATTTAAAAATGTAAAACCTTCTCGGGGGCTCCGAATGTACTTTTTTTAATGTGAAACCTTCTCGGGGGTCGCAACTGTTCTTTTTTAAAAATGCAAAACCTTCTCGGGGGTCCCAACTGTCCATTTTTAAAGAAGGCGAAACCTTCTCGGGGGCTCCAAGTGTCTTTTTTTACTGTGAAACCTTCTCGAGGGTCCAAACTGTGTTTTTTTAAAAATGTAAAATCTTCTCAGGGGCCCCAAATGTATTTTTTTTTAATGTAAAACCTTTTCAGGGGGGTCAAATGTATTTTTTTTTATATATATAAAACCTTCTCTGGGGCCCCAAATGTACTTTTTTAAGAATGGAAAATCTTCTCAGGCCACCATATGTTTTTTTTTAATGTGAAACCTTCTCGCGGTCCCAATTGTCTTTTTTTTAATGCAAAACCTTCTCGAGGGCCCCAAATGTATTTTTTTTAATGTAAAACCTTCTCGGGGACCCCAAATGATTTTTTTTAATGGAAAACCTTCTCGGGGGCCGCAAATGTATTTTTTTAATGTAAAACCTTCTCGGGGGTCCCAACTGTCCATTTTTAAAGAAGGCGAAACGTTCTCGGGGGCTCCAAGTGTCTTTTTTTATGTGAAACCTTCTCGGGGGTCCCAACTGTTCTTTTTTAAAGATGTGAAACCTTCTCGTGGGACCCAAATGTATTTTTTTTTATGTAAAATCTTCTCGGGGACCCCCAAATGTTTTTTTTTTTAATGTAAAAACTTCTCGGGGGCCCGGAATGTCTTTTTTTTAAGAATGTGAAACCTCGGCCGACCCAACTGTCCGTGTATCTTTGGTTGCATACTTCCAATACTTTGATGCGTGTTTTGCTTTAAAAATACCTAGAATATAAGAATACCAAATTATAACTATAAAACTGTACTGGGCTACATTTTAAATCATTTCGAATTCTGAAAGTGGGTGAAAATTTGGTAGATTTGCCCATTGCCAGCCCTGCTGCCCCACAAACTCGCCATTGGCAGCCCTGCTTCACCCGAAAATAATGACAGCTGTGATGACAGACATAGTTGGCGTTTAATTCCCGTTTTATTTTTATTTAAAAAACTAAGAACCCGGGATGAGTTACACCGAAAAGCATGATGTCGTTTCGAAGGACGAGTGGATGGCCCTGATCGAGGAGAACGAAATCGGCCGTTCCCAAATGAACAAACTCATCATGAACTATCTAGTGACAGGTATGCGGGCCCCCCTTTTAACAAAGCCTCACCATCGTGTTGCAGAAGGCTTCAAAGAGGCCGCCGAGAAGTTCCAGCAGGAATCCGGGGTCGCGCCCGCCGTAGATCTGCACTCCCTCGACGACCGGATCAGCATTAGGGACGCTATCATGAACGGCAGGATCCAGGAGGCCACGGCACTAATAAACCAGCTCCACCCCGAGCTGTTGGATAACGACAGATATTTGTACTTTCACTTGCAGGTAAAGTGTCACATTGTCGATGCAAAAGTGGTAAGGGTAGTTTGTAGCAGCTGCATTTAATCGAGCTAATCAGGAGTAATCGGGTGGAGGAGGCACTGGCGTTCGCGCAGAGCCATTTGAGCGAGGCGGGCGAGGACGATCCTTCGGTTTTGCAAGAGTTGGAGAGGACGGTGGCGCTGCTGGCTTTCGAGGACCCCTTGAATAGTCCTTTCGGGGATTTATTGGCGCCGTCTCACAGGCAGAAGGTCTGGTCGGGGTGGGTGTTGATTTTGAGGTTATTTTTTGCGTTGTAGATTGCGAGTGAGGTTAACGCCGCCATTTTGAAAATGGAACACCAAGAAACAACGGCTTCAAAAATTTCAACTCTACTTAAACTCGTGCTTTGGGCGCAAGACAAACTGAACAAAAAGAATATCAAATATCCAAAAATGACTGATCTAGCTTCTGCTACAATCGAGGATCCAAAGTAACTCCGTTTTAACAGTTTTAAGTGTGTTAGATTAGAGTAGTAAATTATTGTTATTAAATTTAAATAGTCATCTTTAAATAATTCTATATTGTGATGGACTTTCACCCAGTTTTTTTGTAAATTTATATAAGGAAAGGCAGATCTACTATCATAAAGTAGTTTTCTTAAAAAAAAGATAGTTTTTACACATCAGTCCCTAATAATATAAAATTGAACCTAAAAACTATAAAATCACCAGCCGAAGACGTACTCGATCGCTTTCGACACCAAACCAGTGGACTTCTGAGGAACGTTCTGCGGCGGCAGCACCGAACTTGCGTTGTGGGGCGAAATGAACGAGTGCCGCAAAGACCTGGCTCTAATAGGCGACGCAAAAACGTCATCGTTCTCCTTATTTTCCTTATGATAATACAAACTAACCCCGACCATAATACAATTACTTATACATCTCCCATTCATAGCCAGAGCTCTGGGCACATCACTCAAATGATTAAACTTCACATGCAGCCAATTCCCCTGTCCCGGGATCCTCTTCTCCACAATCGTCCCACAATTCGACAACTGCGCCAAAACCAAACTCAAAGCGCTGGGCGGAAACCCAAACACTGTAACCCAATGGGTATCAATCTTGTCCACCCGACTAAAATTCACGCTCTCGTTAAAGTTCCTACTACAATTAAAACTATCCTCCAGCCGGCTCTGCCCGAACACCCCCGGACTCTCAATCGCCGTGGACTGCATAATGGGACTAGTGGGCTTGCGCTTCTGCTCGATGGTATCAAACAGCCCCTGGCTCGGGGGCCCGGGCTTGTGCGGCGTGAACGGCTGCCGCGGGCTCTCCAGAGTCGCGTTGAACAGCTTGGGGTACATCCCGGGGGTACTCGGAGCGCCGAGTTTCCGCCCCGGGGTCCGATTCCGACCCGGAGAGGTGCTGGGGTTGGGCGACGACGGCTGCGAGGTGTCGCCCATGAGGAAGGCGGGGAGGAAGTTGGGCTTGACCCCGGGGGATGAGGGGCTCGACGGGGCGCTTCCGAGCGCCATGGGTTCCATGGTTCTGCACAAAGTGAGGTTAGAAGAGCGCGAATAGAGTGTGGGTACTTACATTTGGCACTTGTGGCTGGTTTTGAAATGGGGGCTGTTTAGATGTGGCTGCGGTGGTTTTTGCTTATGTGGGCTTCACATGGGTTTTTTGAGTCGTGAAGAAGTGGCTTGTCAGATTTGAACTTTGACAAGTGGGGAAAGTCGTTGAAGATGGAGGTGCAGTGGGGGCTGAGAGGTGGCAGCACTTGAATTAAGGTTTCTGGAATATTGTGGAGAGAAAACGAACAAGGAAAGTGTGGACGGAAATTGGAAATTTGGTTTTAAAATAGCCAAACAATATAATATTGTTTATTAAAGAAAAAGTGGTATAGGCAACACTTTATACACGATTTTTTATTTTTTTCGACTATATTTTAATAATTCAGATGCGATTTTCATACAAATACGTACTATAAAGGTTCACAGAAGAATATTCAGTGCTGAAAAAGGCCACAAAATACTCGAGAGGGTTAATAAGTACCCTTTTCAAACAAATGGTAATGTTGGTTGCCTAAGTTTAAATATTTTAGACAGGTCAAATCAGTGGCGTAGTAATCGGAAAGATATGAAATAGGTGACAGATGTTATGGTGTTAAGCTATATTTTGCCTTTTTTTTCTTAGTATACATAGCCGTATTTTCACAACAAGAAACTTAAAACACGGTTAAAAGGTACATTTTTGCAAGGAAATACGGATTTTGCTATTTATGGGGCGGAGCCTATTGCAAAATCGATATTTCCTTGTACAAATTTTCCATTTTGAACATGTTTTAGTTTCATGTTGTGAAGAGAAATCTGCACATATTAAAACAAAAAAGCCAAATGTAAGCCCACCCACCCACCCTGTCTCAATTGTGATGATTTTTTTATTGGCCATTAACCAAGAGGGCGGAGCTTAACTGCAAAATACTTATTTCTTTACAATAAGTTAAAAACATATTCTTGAGTATCGGCAAAATATAAACCCCGCCCACCCACCCCATCTCAATTGTGATGATTTTTTTTATTATTAGAAACGTAAAACACATTTAAAATGATAATTTTTTTGTAAGGGAATATGGATTTTGCAATTAGGCTCCTCCCCTAGGTCTGGCAACGAATGAAAATTTCATTATTATTTACATCAGGGCAGGTTTGGGTGGACCTTAATCTTTAGCTTTAATTTTTTCTTAATATAGATACATTGTATTCTTTGAATAACACAATACTCAAAAACATGTCTTACATGGTAATTTCTCGTAGAGAAATAATAAGGATTTTGCAATTAAGCTCCGCCCTCTTGGCTCATGACGAATAAAAAAAATCATCACAAGAGAGACAGGGCGGGTGGGCGGGGCTTATATTTTTCCTTCTTTCTTAATATACGTAGTCGTGTTTTGAAAACAAGAAACTTAAAACATATTTAAAATGGTAAATTCTTGTAGACAAATATAGATCTTGCAATTAAGCCCCGCCCTTCGACCTGACAACTAATGAAAAATTCATCACAATTGAGAATTGAAATCGGGGCGGGTATGGGTGGGGCCTAATCTTTGGCTTTCTTTTTTACTTAACACATATAGTATTCTTTGGACAACACGACACTCAAAAACATGTTTTTAATTTTTCGTAAGGAAATAAAGATTTTGCAGTTAAGCTCCGCCCTTTTGGCTCACGATGAATAAAAACATCATCACAATAGAGATAGGGGGGGTGGGTGGGGCTTATATTTTTCCTTCTGTCTTAATATACGTAGTCGTCTTTTCAGAACAAGAAACTCAAAACATATTTAAAATGGTAAATTCTTGTAAACAAATATGGATCTTGCAATTAAGCCCCGCCCCTGGATCTGACAACTGAGAATTGAGATCGGGGCGGGTACGGGTGGAGACCAATCTTTGACTTATTTTTTTCTTAATATAAAAGGTATTCTTTGAACAACACGATACTCACAAAAATGTTTTTAATTTTTCGTAAAGAAATAAAGATTTTGCAGTTAAGCTCCACCCTTTTAGCTCAGAACGAATAAAGAAAATCATCACAATAGAGATAGGGCGGGTGGGTGGGGCATATATTTTGTCTTTTTTCTTAATATACGTACTCATCGTTTCAGAACAAGAAACTTAAAACATATTTAAAGTGGTAAATTTGTATAAGGAAATATCGATTTTGCAATTAAGCCCCGCCCTTCGATCTCACAACGAATGAAAAATTCATCACAAGTGAGAATTAAGATCGGAGGGGGGTATGGGTGGAGCTTATTCCTTGGCTTAATTTTTCTTAATCTACATAGTATTCTTTTAACAACACGATACTCAAAAACATTTTTCTAATTTGTCGTAAAGAAATAAGGATTTTGCAGTTAAGCCCCGCCCTTTTGGCTCACGACAAATAAAGAAAATCATCACAATAGAGATAGGGCGGATGGGTGGGGCTTATATTTTGTCTTTTTTCTTAGTATATGTAGTCATCTTTTCAGAACAACAAACTTAAAACAATAAATTCTTGTAAACAAATATGGATCTTGCAATTAAGGGGGAGTGTATGGGTGTGGTCTAATCTTTGGCTTTATTTTTCTTAATATACACAGTATTTTTTTAATAACACGATACTCAAAAACATGTTTTTAGTTTTCCGTAAAGAAATAATGATTTTGCAGTTCAGCTCCGCCCCGTTAGCTCACGACGAATAAAAAAAATCATCACAATAGAGATAGGGCGGGTGGGTGGGGCTTATATTTTGTGTTTTTTTTTTCTTAATATACGTAGTCATCTTTTCAGAACAAGAAATTTAAAACATATTTAAAATGGTACATTCTTGTAAACAAACATGGATCTTGCAATTAAGCCCCTCCCCTCGATCTGACAACGAATAAAAAATTCATCACAATCGAGAATTGAAATTGTGGCGGATGTGGGTGGGGACTGATCTTTGGCATTATTTTTCTTAATATACATAGTATTCTTTGAACAATACGATACTCAAAAACATGTTTTTAATTTCTCGTAAAGAAATAAGGATTTTGCAGTTAAGTTCCGCCCTCTTGGCTCACGACGAATAAAAAAAATCACCACAATAGAGATAGGGTGGGTGGGCGGGGCTACATTTTGCCGGTTTTTCTTAAAATGTGTAGACTTATTTCGGCAACAAGAAACTTAAAGCATGTTTAAAATGCATTAATAATCTCTCGATATTTTATAATGTTTTTCACTTTATCTCGCATTGGTGGTATGAGTCAAATTATTTTTTACAATTCGTTTAATTATTGCTACAGATGGATTCCGCGAGATTTACACTTTTATCGATCCTTAGAAAAAATAATGGGTGACTGAGGCAATGAAAAGATAAACGTTATCCTAATTTCCCCTACTCGTTCCACTTTAAAATACATTTTTAAAGTATTGATTATTATCAGTATGAGAAATCTAGTGCAAATAAACACAAACAGATGTTATACAATATTTACAGATCAGTTTTACGTAATCGTGAATTATATCTCATCTGACGTAAAATTCTACTTTACAATCGATTGATTGATGACACGAATTTTTTTACATTCTTCTGGGAACATTACACACATACAGTTCTCTCCGCTGAGGTGACGTCAAGTGTGAGACACCCTATACAATGAAAAATTCATGCAACGACATTCCTTAAATTTCCGGATTTCGTGTAACAATCACACCCCGCGGACTCATTTAATCACTGAAAGTCACCTGGTTTGAATGCTTATAGCCAAACTAAGCAACAAAGGGGCTAGAAAAGAGATTATAACTCGAAAGATCGGGTTCAAGAAAAAAAAGTACGCCACTGGCTTTGCATAAATAAATAATCCGCATAATAAAGATGCCAAATTGCGGTGGAATAAAAATTGATTTGATTTATGCGCAGCTAAATGTCAAAAATATGGGATAGTAAAAGTCGCAGAAGCACCAACTTAAGAAAAAACGCCGTTTTTTCTTTTTAAATGAAGAAATAATCCCGTGTTTCTTTTTATTTTAAAATTATGCGCGTTTAAATCAAAATTAACGATATAAAAGCGTTGTCGTTGAAAGTTATAGTTGTACCGCGGCAATATTATCTCGCCAAAGTCCGGACGTGATTTATTTTTTCCGCGAACCCGAGTGATTTATTAAAAACCCCGCATTGTCCGTGAAACATCCTGTACACGATCAGCCCCAAAAATAAGCGCTAAATCCAGCACGCATGCCTCAGGGCGACAACCGAAAATTTGTATTTTGACAGTGACAGTAGAACAAGATGGCGATGCCGCGGGTGCTGTGTCGTGTTCGTCTCCTCATCAACAACGACTTTTCAGTGATTTCAAAATATTCCTCGGTCGCAAATAGTGTTTCAATAAATAAAGTAAGTACTCTTCCGCCGAATCCGGTTTTGTTTGGGCGCGATCGTTGCGTAATTCGCGAGATCAGCCCTGGAGCACCTGCTGGGCAAGGGGGCGGCACGCGGTTAAACCCCCTTTTATCGACCCTCGGCGCCGCCGCCCCCGTCCGTAGAGGTTATGTGCGCCAAATTATGTATCTCGCCTGCTGCATTATTCACGAGGGTGTTTTTCACGTCGCGAGACGTTTCGGCCCGCCGCGACCACCCTCAGGCTTGGCGGCGGCGAAGAGGTCAATTCGGTAAACATCTGCGGCGGTTTTAGGGTCAATAGCACGAGTGCATCGTTGCGTAAGCATTGTCTTGAACTGGTTCCGGAGAGAAATTCGGGGGGGGTTGCGAGGGGGTGGCCCGAGGTGGTGAAAGCACCAAAGCTCGACAAAGCTTTGAGGAATTTATCGCGGTCTGATTTTTGGGAAAAATTGCAGGTAACGAAGTGGAAGAATTTCAGAAATACCGGACTCTGTTTGTATTTGTGGGGGAGAATTTGTTATTTTGGTCTGGTATTCGGGGGTCGTTAAGGCTCGTCTGCAGCGAGCAGAAATTACTTATTTGAGTTGCACATAAAAGTGATTTGTTTCAGCCGTAAAAATATGTGCTGGCGAAGAAAAAGGCGTTGGTGTGCTTAGTTCAGCATTGTGGCGGTCTGGAATATTTATGGGGTCATGCGGATGGTGCACTCTAGATGTACGGTGTCATCGTAAGCCAACACTTTCGTTTTTACTGGATGTCAAAGTGTTGAGATTTTGTTTATTTTTAAATGAAAAGTGGGCTATTTGGGTCGCTGTGGTCGTTTGCCAAGAAATATCTGAAAAACTACGCTCAACAGTCTTTTTATAAGTAGCAAGCAAATACATTTTCTGCTTATCATTTTTGCTGTAAATAACGTCAAAAATAAAAGTTGTTTGAATTTTTTCGGCGTTTATTTGGACACAAAGAGGGTATACCTTGATTATAGTTGAGTCAGCTAAATAGTGAATTATGGTAATGATAATTTGCACCTTTCTCCTTCGCTTGCCTACCCCAAAGGAACCAACGACGTCCAGTTTCCCAAAACCAGGTAAACCATTATAATCCTGAGTAGTTTATTGCAGGCTTCACTATTTGCTGGACTTTACCCTAACTACCGGAATTTTGTCGAAAATAAAAATAACTCAAGAATATATAAAAATATATTAGTAATAAATTTTATTGTATTGTATTGTAGAGATTATTTATCGAAGGTCATGGATACTAATTATATAATTATTGAGCCACTTAAGTTATAATAGTAAAAATGGCTTAAGTCATTAGCGATCGGTAAAACACATTTTACGAGCTTGCGTGAACATTCTACAGGAGAAAGTTGCAGACCTTCAATTTCTTTCGAGTTAAAAGTGTAAGTATTTCTATAAATGACGATACTTCTGACGGGTTTTTCTAGCGATTTCTGTTTTGGTTAAATTAGGTTGTTTGTCCAAACTGAACGACATCGTTCGATAAATCCGAAAATATTGTTTGTATTAATACCTAAAGATATTTTTTTAAAAATTGATAACGAAGATTTGAATTCAACAGTGTCAGTAAGTAGGCGAAAGGGTACAAATAATAGGCATCCCTTTTCCGTCTGTCTGTCTGTACGCCGTCTGTGTCGATTTTTGTTAGAGAGATGACATGTGAAATTACCAGATCGATTGTTTGGAAAACAATCAAAATTGTACAACAATTGATTGATTTCTCAATTTTCGAATTTTAGCTTTTTCAACTTTCGATTTCTCAATTTTTCGATATTTCAGTTTTGGGATCTTTAAACTTTTCTTTTTTCGATTCTTCAGTGTCTCGACTTTTCAAATTTTCGATTTCTTGATCTGTTTTTTTCTCGATTTCTTAATTTTCCGATTAATTTTGTGATTTTTCAATTTTTTAATAGTTGCAGTTTCTAGATTTTCGATTTTTCGCTTTTTTGATCACTAGATTTTTTGATTTTTCGACTTTTTGGTTGATTGATGTTCCTATTTCTCGATTTCTCGAATTTTAAATTTCTCGACGTCACGATTTCTCGATTTTTCAATTTTTAAAATTTTCTATTTTTCAACTTTCCGGTTTTTCGATTCTTCGATTTCTCGATTTTTTAGCTTTTCGATTGTTCAGTTTTTTGATGTATCAATTTTTCTTCGGTTTTTCAATTTTTCGATTTCTCAATTTTCAAATTTTAGATTTTTTGTCTTTTTGATTTTTTAATTCCTGGATTTTTTTCTTTCGATGTCTCAATTTTGCGATATTTCAGTCTTGGAATTTTTAAACTTTTCTTTTTTCAGTTTTTCAATTACTCAGTTTTTCGGTACACATACCTCAGTTTTGGAGTTTTTCAAATTTTCGATTCTTCAATTTATTGATCTATCAAAATTTCGAGTTCTCGATCTTTTTATTTTTCGATTTCTTAATTTTCCGAGATTTCAGTCTTACGATTTTTTATTTTTTTGATTCTTCAATTTTTTCTATTTTTGGGTGTTTCTAAATTTTCGATTTTTCGCTTTTTTGATTTCTAGATTTCTTCATCTTTCGACTTTTCGATTTATTGATATTCCCATTTTTCGATTTCTCGACTTTTCAGTTTGTTAAATATTCGGTTTTTGACTTTTCGGTTTTCTATTAGTCGATTTTGCAGTTTCCATGTTTTTCAATTTTTCGGTTTATCGATTTTTTAGACTTTAAAATTTTCAATTTTTCGATTTCTCGATGTTTTCAGGTTTCGATCTTTCGTTGTTTTTCTGGGATATTCGATTTAAAAATGTTTTCGATTTTTCGATTTCTGAGTTTTCAGCTTTTCAATTTTGGACATTTTTCAGTTTGAAGAATAATTCAATTACCTATTCGATTTTCCGGTTTTTTCATTTTTTAAATTTTTTGATTTATCAACTTTTAGATCTTTCAGTTTTTCGATTTCTTGATCTTTTTTTCGGTTTCTTAACTTTCCGATATTTCAGTTTTACGATTTTTAAATTTTTTGATTCTTCAATTTTTTAATTTTTGGCGTTTCTAAATTTCCTCTCTATTTATCAACGTCTAGATTTCTCGATTTTTCAATTTTTAAAGTTTTTGATTTTTCCACCCTTCGGTTTTACAACTTTTCGATTTTTCAGCTTATCGATTATTCAATTTTTTTATTGTTTCAGTTTTGCTATTTTTCAAAATTCCTTCGATTTTTCAATTTTTCGATTAGCCGTTTTTGGATATTGCAGTTTTAGTATTTTTCAATTTTTATAATTGTTATGTTTTACATTTTTCAATTTTTTAGATATTCCGAGATCCCGATCTTTAGATTTTCCGACTTCTCGGTTTTAGATTTTTCGGTTTTTCTATTTTTCGATTTTTGAAATTTTTCAATTTTTCGACTTTTCGACTTCTCGATTTTTCAGCTTTTCAATTGTTCAGTTTTTTGGTTTTTCAGTTTTTCTTCGATTTTTCAATTTTTCGATTTCTCAATTTATCGGGATTTTTTTCTTTTGATTATTCGATTGTCCAATTTCCCGATTTTTCAATTTTTCGATTTTTCGCTTTATGGATTTTTTAGACTTTAAAATTTCCAATTTTTCGATTTTCTGATTTCTGGATGTTTTCATGTTTCGATTTTTTTATTTTCGGCTTTCCAATTTTACGATGTTTCGATTTTTCGATGTTTCGATTTTTTGGTTTTTCGGTTTTTCAATTTTACGATTTTTCAATTTTTCGATTTCCTAATTTTTCGTTTTTCAGTGTTCGATTCTTCAATTTTTCGGTTTTTCAGTTTTTCGATTTTTTAAATTTTAGATTTTTCGATATTTTTTGGTTTTTTTAATTTTTCGATTTTTGAATTTTTCAACATTTCAATTTTGGGAATTTTTCAGTTTCTGCAGTTTGAAATTATTCAGTTTTTAGAATTTTAAATTTTTCGTGTTTTTGACGTTTCCATTGTTGGATATTTCGATTTTCCGGTTTTTCTGTTTTTTCCTTTTTAAATTTTTGATTTTTCGATTTTGCAATTTTTAGATCTTTTAGTTTTTCGATTAAAATTTTTTTTTGACTCCATTTAGCGACATTTCGATGTTTGGATTTTTTGATTTCTCGGTTTTTGATTTTTCGGTTTTTTGATTTTTCGGTTTTTCAATTTTACGATTTTTCAATTTTTCGAGTTTTGGTTTTTCAATTTTTCGATTTCCAAATTTTTCGTCTTTTCAGTTTTCGATTCCTCAATTCCGCGGTTTTTCAATTTTTTAAATTTGAGATTTTTTGATTTATTGATTTTTCTTTTTTTTTTGGAATTTTTCAGTTTTGTAATATTTCAATTTTTTGATTTTTCCAGTTTTCGATTTCTCCTATTTTCAATTTTGGGCATTTTTCAGTTTCTGTATTTTGCAATTATATTCAATTTTTATAATTTTAAATTTTTTTATGTTTCGATTTTTCGATCTTTCGATTTTCCGGTTTTTCTGTTTTTTCGTTTTTAAATTTTTGATTTTTCGATTTTTCAATTTTTAGAGCTTTCGGTTTTTCGATGTAAAATCGTTTTTGAGTCGATTTAGCGACATTCCGATATTTCAATTTATCGATGTTTCGATTTTTTGATTTTTCGGTTTTTCAATTTTACGATTTTCCAATTTTTCGAGTTTCGGTTTTCAATTTTTTGATTTTTAATTTTTTTTATTTAACAGAGAAATTACAGAGTAGAGGAAAAAAAATCCTATGGGTACTCTATACAAATTAAATAATAATAATAATAATTTTCCTAATAATTTTTCGTCTTTTCAGTTTTCGATTCAGCTTTTTCATTGTTAAATTTTTGATTCTTCGATTTTTCAATTTTTAGATCTTTCAGTTTTTCGATTTAAAATTTTTTTTGACTCCATTTAGCCACATTTCGATTTTTTGATTTCTCTGTTTTTTGATTTTTCGGTTTTTAATTTTATGATTTTCCAATTTTTCGAGTTTCGGTTTTCAATTTTTCGATT